TGGAATTTCCTGGAATACATCCTGGAATTCCTGTACTACCGGGATGCTGTCAAGAGATACCGCAGTCGCTTCCTGTGAGTCCTCCTCAAGAATGAATAAATAAGTGCTAGGCCCTCTATCAGGTTGTGGTACAACAAGAAGATACATCTCCTGTCCTGGTATAGAAAATACAATAGACTTTTCGTAACAGTTAACCTGAGCATGGTACTGAGATAACCAGTCCATCCCAAGTATAACATCATACGAATGCATATCTAACACTAACAAATTTGCAAGAAATCGAAGCCGGCCCATATCTATAAGGATATCACCGCTATACTCTCGTAAAATTGCGCCAACTCCCAATGGTGTATAAATATTAAGAGGTTGGTCACATAACTGAGTCGTCATACCAGATAAGATAACAAAAGATCTAGACACAAAAGAATGTGATGCACCAGTGTCAAACAGTATACGAGCAGTTCGACCATGTATAGAAAACATACCCTCAATAGCCTGAGGAGCTTGCGCATTATGTGGCATGAAGTTATAAACTCTGCCATGATGCAACTGCTGTGGAGGTTGTCCCGGAGGAAATGGTGGTGCTGGAAGTGCCGGAAAATTCTGAACTTGCCCACGTGGCATCGGTGGGGCCGGTAGAGGTAATGGCTGATTAGGTCTCGGCTGCCCATACTGTCCCTGCTTAGCTTTGGGACACATCTTGGCCGGATGCCCAATCTCTCTACAGTGATAACAACGTCCCGTAAAAGGACCTGCCTGCCTTCTCTGTTGATTTCCCGACCACTGTTCCTGTCCGGTCTGAGGTATCCCACCTTGTCTACCCTGATTAGGGACTCCATCCCTCTGCACATCTAGGTTTCCTTTGTTTTTCTTCCAAGGTGGATGTCCTTGAAATCTGCCCCGATCATTGGACTTGGCACCACTGCTGCTTCCTTTCTCCACTGTCTGGTAGTCTCGGTTAGTCCGCTTATCTCCCTTGGACTTCCGGTAATCACTCCTCATCTGGCAGTGCTGTAAGGCGGCATTAACCACCTGGATATAAGTAGTATATGCAGGACTACCTAAGATCACCACTTTAATCGGCCATATTAACCCCTTCACAAAGCGGTCTCTCTTCTTTTCTTCCGTATTGACCTCCTCTGGTGCAAATAATGACAAATTTATGAACTTCTGTTCATACTCAGCCACAGTCATATCTTCCTGTTGCAGATCCAGAAATTCGGTCTTCATCGCTGATCTTACTGACATAGGAAAATACTTGCCGTCAAAGCGAGTCTGAAATTCAGCATACGTCAATCTGGTCCTCTCATCGACAGTAGTAATAGACTCCCACCACTGCAATGCATTGCCTATCAGCATAAACGTAGCCAGCATCTGTTTCTGCACTTCGGTACAGATTACCATCCGAAGATGACGCTCGCTCTCCTGTTTCCACTGATATGCTAACAAGACATCTGTGGACCCCGCAAATGTCGGTGGATTTCCCCGAATGAACGAGTGACGAACTTTGTCCCATGACATTGGCTGTGCCACTGGTTCAGGAACAGGTACTATCGGAGGAGGTTGCTGGTTTCGTAGAGCAGATGCTACTCCTGCTGCCACAGCTCGTGCAATGATGTCAGCAACTTGAGGAGAAAATTCCTGATTCTCATTTTGAGTTGGGGAAATACTGCGATGACGGTTCGCATTCCTTGTCCCACGCCGAGACATCCTTCTTTTAAATTCAGAAAAATCTAACGTCAGTACATTATAATGGACCGACTAAAAGAATACGAAGAACCCTAATACTTAGGCTCTAATTATCAGAATACACAACGCGGAAGTATAGTAATCACAGATCCCTAAGACACTCGAACCTGGAATGCTCTGATACCAACTGTAACACCCCCACATTTTCCACGCATAAGTTGATCAGGCTTATACACGAAAAACGAGGGATATCAAAAACAATTGGCAATATACAAGCATGGAATACAAAATGATGGAATTAAAAGAATTTAGACAGGAAAGAAACATTAAATAATACAACATCCATCCAACCTTTATTTAATGCAGTACTTCATTACAACTTGGAAATCCTACGTCAGGGATCCTTAAATATAACCCTGAGAGTTCAACGTCAAAAGTAAATAAAAACTGAAACTGAAGTATTACATAAAACTTCTACCCTGCACTGGATCGTAAGAGTAGATGAGTTCGGATGATGGTCCCACACTGCTAACCTCAGCCTTGAAACGGATACTGACCGTATCCTGAAATAACAACAATGGTGGGTCAACCCCACGAGCAAGTCCTCTCTACTATGACCCAAATCAGAGAATCAAATAAATTAATCATTATGAATCGGATGAGTACTATATCTGTATACATCCTACGGGAACTATCCGATGTATAACATGACCTCAACCAGAATAGACGGTGATCACTTAGACTCACACTAGGTGGTTAAGTGTCGCCTTTCCCTACCCGGGAAATCAGCTATTATACATGGTGCACGGTACTGACAACACAGACTATAACGAACTACACAGTGATAACACCTCGCAAAGTACTGATGAATATACTGAGCATATAAATTAGGCAACACATGCCAACAATATTAATAAAGATACCGAGAATGTCAATTTAGGCAACACATGCCAATAATATTAATAAATATACCAAGTATGTCAGTTAGGCAACACATGCCAATAATATTAAACCACATACCCCGACAGCCACACATCTGTCTATCGCAACGAATGCATAAGGTATAAATGAGTCTAAACTTATTAGCCAGCTCATATGGTTCTATATGGCAACACATCCATATAATATAAATGCGACATAATTAAACAGTCCATTTATTTCCTGAAATGCACACAGCATAATAATCATGGTTTATATATCAATTAACAGTATAAACATCCTATAAGATATCATGGATAATTTATCTGACTAAAACCATGGCCTTATTTAATTTAACAGTAATGTTTGATACCATTAAATACGATAATAACACTTTTTATATTTAACAATGTCGTTAAATAAATCACATTAGTATCCGTACTGCGAACGAGCCAATAAATGCTTAGAAAAGATTAATCGGCCATAAGAATAAGTAACGGGTGTTAAAATAATAATTTCGTGGCCCGTTAAACCCGTAATTACCAACACAGTACCTAAAAATCCAAGTTTAAGGTTCTGGAATTTACAAAACAGGCCCTAAGGGTATTCTGGTAATTTCCAGCAGCTGTAGGGACCCCACACGCGCCCTCACGCGCCTCCCAGAGCCTCACCACGCGCAGCCTAACCTTCCCCACTCTCCCACGCGCCTCCACGCGCGTCTGGCATCAGCCACGCGCTCCCACGCGCGTCTGGAGAGTCCCACGCGCGCGCACGCGCTGCCACGCGCGCACTAGGGGTGCCTTGCTGACGCGGCGTGTGCTGGTTGGTCGGTTGCATCAGATTTCCTACGTGCGCGCCACACCGGATCAATCCACCTACATCTCCTCCATCCAACGTCCACGGATCCGGGTGTACCGCGGTATCATGGACCGCGATGCACCGGATCAATCAGACTCCACTAATGGCCAGGATGCGCGCGTACACCCTCCTATGGTGCGCCGCGTTGCACCGGATCACTCCGGTCGTCTCCCCCACTGCCGGCGACCGGAAAACTCGCCGGAAGGTCGCCGGAAATTGCAGAAAATGCCCGGAAAAATCTAGAAAATTCTAGAAAAATCCCTAAAGTCTTATTTAATTATTTTTAGCCATTATTAATTTCATAGGACATTAAATAAATATATACCATCCTATATAATTAAAATTCCATTAATTGAATAAAATAAAACTAATAATTTATTAACCTCTAAACCTTGGCTCTATGCATAAAACTAAGCTAAACAATTAATTTATTAATTCAAAGGGGAAAAGTAGATAATAACTTGCCTTTTTGGATTTAAAATAAATCCGCCGGTCTGCGCGTAGTCGGGTAAAATTGCCTACACCGGTCCAAGCTTCTTTCTCTTTCTCTTTTCCTTTCACTCTTATAAAATAGCTCTCTAGAATTTATACTTTGCTTCTAACTCCCTTTTATTTTTTTCTAAGGCAAGCTAGTTAATTTATACACAAAATATATAATATAAATATTACAAATATCTAATTTATAATAACTTCTCACCCATTTCTCATATTCCTACCTATATGGCTTTAATTCCAACCATAACCATTGATGCAATCCTATCCTAATCTCTAATTTCATCATGACTTTGGTTTAATACTATTATTATAAATATTATTATTATTATTACTAATATTATTATTAATAAACTTTTATAATAATTATTATTATTATTATATTATTATTATTATTATTATTATTAAACTAATATAATTATTATTATTACAAAATAATACATTATATCATCATAATACTATATAACACAAATATAATACTCTAATTAACTAATATAGCTTTATTAAACATAATCAACAAATAAAAGTAATTAAAATAATACATGCACAATTAAATGAATAAATTTACTATTTTAACATACACAATTAATTTACATGCACAATTAAATGAATTTAATAAAATAATGTAGTATGCACAAATAAATAAAATTAATTAACCTAACACAAAATTAATTTAAATACATTCTTTAAAATTACGGGGTATTACACAAGATGCCCAACCTGAAAGCAAGGTCTCCTATTTTAGATCAAGTCAGACGTCTGTACACTACTAACATCTTTAACCTTTGTCAGGCACTGTTAATAGTAGCTAACATGAGAGAAAATGTCCGTAAATGCAACGACCATGTTAACGGGGTTTTTTTCATATAAAGTTGCGGTTTATAATGATAACTTCCATCGGCTCGTCACAAGGACACATGACGACTTATTATCATGTTCATGTGGAAAATTTGAAATGGAGGGTATCATGTGCAACCACACTCTGAAAGTCCTTAAAGATATGATGTATGCCAATGAAATACCCAGCCGCTATATTTTAAAAGGTGGACCAGAAATGGCAAGGACGGCAGGGTGGAAGACATACTTGGTAGCGATGTTATTACAGATCCTAGATTAGAAATTAAGCGACGACACAAGATCCTTTATCGTTATCTAACTGAAATTTCTGTCATTGCATCAGTGAGCGAGGAGGGATTCAACAATGTTTTGGTGCAGGCGAAAAGTTTGAAGAAGATTAATTAAAGAGCAGAACCTAATCCCAGGCTTGCATGTAAACAAACCGCACGAGCTAATGGCATAGGAAACAGCATTACAAATACAGAGCAGAATAGTCATGTGCAAACCATAGAAAGATTGACTCCAAAAGGGATTGCCACGAAAGTTACATTGAAAGGAAGAAGGCGTAGCCTGATACCTGCTTTAGAAAGAGCCACTGTGAAGAAGAGAAAGGCCGTTACGCTAGGTCGCAGTTGTACTACGACAACCCCTATGTAAATTTTAAACAATGTGAGTCTTGTTTTGTGTTTTATATATCTCTTACCCGATCTATAGTTTAACGTACTGATGAATTGATGATTTTTGGTGAAGGGTGCTGAAATACCAGTAGAGTTTTTATGCTCCGATGAATGTTATATGCCAACATGTTCAACACAGGGCCACGATTGGGATAACAGTCCGGCTACTTATTTTGGTCAGCCCATGACTCCATTAAATAACCAGGTATGTGATGTCATCTAAATTAATTAAAGTCATGAAATTAATTAAGAAATTTAACGAGCTGTTTTTCCATGCATGTGATATAAAAAGGGAGTTGATGTAGATGTTGTACGTGAAACAAATTTCTCGCCAATGATCCAAATGCCAAACATGAATTCTACATTTGAGCAACAAGGGTTCCAAGAATTACCATGATATGGTAGAAGGATATAAAAAGTGTACTTCATCGTCATTTCGTCGTTATTGCCATGATTGCACTTCCTTTATTTTGCTGAGTGCTCAATATATTATAGGGGTATCACTGTACATAATATCTTCTACTCCAGTAAATTTGTTATGTTAAAAATATTGTATTTAAGTCAGAAATGCACTTTCCTTTTTATATTGAACACTTTATATTTGACCATTTATTCCTTGTCTTCATTGCAATTGAATGGTTTGTTTAGAACATTAAAGACCCTACTTATTATTTTCAACCTACATAACATATTTAGGGCATCTGTATCTCCATACCAGTCGTCTCATCCCATTTTAAATTGACATCCCTTCAAAGTATAAGCAATGGTTAGCCGACGGTTTTACCTTGTAGTGAAGGGCCGGAATGTTGAAGCCCTGGGTAGATGGACTGCCCACTTCCATGGTGAACTGTTAAACATGGATGGTGCGGTAGAAGACGATATTGAAGTTGTGGAAGGCGATCTACCTCCACATCCGCCTGATCCAGAAAGTGAGCGACAACATCGAATTAAGTATAATAAGTTAACAAATGCTAGGGGTGTAATTGTGGCAGAGTGTAGAAGACAAGGTCTCTCAATTCCAAGACCCCGTTCACTTGAAATGAAGCTCTCAGGTACATCAAATATGGATTACGTGATCGGTTTAATCAAACGCGGATCCGGCAACTATATGTGAGATGGCGTAAGTTCCAGAAAGTGAAACATGCTAAAGAAACATACGAAGATCCGGCAGAACAGTTGGCCACTATCTTCAATGACTCAGACCTAAAATCAGATTCAGACATGTCCGATTTTTCAAACCCAGCAGATGATGACTTTGCAATTCCACCTCCAAGATATGGTAGAAAGAAATACTGTAAGTGGATGTAACAAATATTATTTCTGGAGTTCTACCTTTATTGTAATAGTTATTTTCCATTAAATTACTGGGAATAACATCAAAACGATTTCATATGTTTTGTCGTAATTAATTTATATGTACAGTTGGAATGATTTCGTAACAGAAGTTAAAACAAAATTTACCGTTCAGACAAAATTTTATTTTATAATGTATACGTGTATACTTCGACAACATAAATGAACTTTAAAAAAACGTATTAATGGCCAAGACGTGACAATAAATATTATTTCTAGAGTTATACCTTTATTGTAATAGTTATTTTCCAATTAAATTACTGGGAATAACATCAAAACGATTTCATATGTTTTGTCGTAATTAATTTTATATGTACAGTAGGAATGATTTCGTAACAGAAGTCAAAAGAAAATTTACCATTGAGAGAAATTTTTATTTTATAATGTACATATGTACACTTCGACAACATAAATGAACTTTAAAAAAATGTATTAATGATCGAGACGTGGGAACTTCCATCTTACCCTTCTAACCGTTGTTATATTGAAACGTTTTGACTTTTAACTGCCCTAGGCTAAACGGTAAATTTATGCCTCTATTTATATTGCCATATTCAGTCACTGCATGTATTCGAAAACCATGGATTCTGTTCTACAGACTGAGATTGATGATGTGGTTAGACGAGTTGAGGCTATAGCTTTTACAAACAGTGTGAAGAAGCATGCATGGTGAGTTATGTTTCAGTTTATACTTTACAATTTACATGCATTATCGGGTTATGGGTCTACATTACTAAAGTGAGGAATATGGGTGTTCTTCATATTTAAAATGCAGGGAAACGACATAACTGGGCACTGGACCATGGATGACGGGTTTACAGTGATACGATGCAACAATTGAATTACTTGCACGTAATGGGCCAGATGAAAGTATCCCAGCAATACGTATGTACCTGAAACAATGTTTTCAATCTAGGGATCATGTTGCAAAGTTCATTAGGGGAATGGTATGTTTACTAAGATCATGTGTACTCTTTTACGCATTACACTTTGTAAGGTCTAACATTCAAAAAAATTTGCATATGTTGATTAGATTGTTTACAATGAAAAAATAGGGTTGGCTTTCCTCCGTAGAAATGGTTACGCGTCCCTCTATCCTATGTGGATTGCATTATTGTTTTCCAATGAAGCAGACAAAGATGCGGGGATTAATTTGTTAACCTTGTTAAGGACAAATTCAATACTGAACCCTTCTATCAAATTTGCCCGTAGAAAAATGTTAACAATTATTCAGAGGATTTCTTCCTGCAATCGGTCATTCTTTACGCATGTTCCAAAATGTTGTCCCAAAGGCAACCATATTGATTGACATTGTTGGATCCTTAACGAGGATGTCATCAATTGTAATCGTTGTTAGTGTGATTTAAATATCATGGTTTTGCAAGGTCGTCTTTCGCCACATCACATAGAATGATTATTTGGATAGTTCTGTATTGGGTAACACGCAGTGGACTTTCACCACATCACAATGGATTTTATTCATTAATATTTGTAATTGTTATTTAATTTCTGTATGGACATTTGGGTACTTCTGTTTTAATTTCTGTTTCCATTGTATTTTTGTATGAACTCTAAGTTGCAAATGCACAATGATGCACAATTATTTCAATTCATTTTCTCTTGTATTTGGTTATTTTTATTTTGTATTAATTACTTATTTTAATTATTTAATAATATTTTAAAAATAATCTTTTCAAGGAAAACAATCATTTTAAGTCTTTTTATTAGCCTTTCTTACCATCCTACCTCAACCTATATACGTACATGTGTATTTGTGTTTGTATAAACAATTATCCATATGTGAATTGTTCCCATCCTTTCTTCCTTTTTTTCAGCGGTCCCATTACCCCTTTTTAACTTCACACACACACACACACACACACACACACACACACATATATATATAGTTAAGGTATGAATTCATTCACACTAACCTTATATAAATATATATTATATATATACACACACATATATATACATATATGCTTTAAATGTAAATTTTTATACTTATAAACCATTGAAACCATTGATAGTAGAGGGAAATCAAAAGAAGGAAGTTTAATAGTAATTGTTATCCTGAAAATGTTAGTCCAAAAGATACCATATTTATTAGTTAATTAAATAAGTTTGGTAAATTAATGATGGCATGATAAGTTGGTGATGTGGCGCTATAAAAACAGTAGGATTAAATCCTTGGAGATGCTAAGAGAGAAATTTCCTTGGAGAGGATCCATTCCCACATCACATAACATATGTCACAACTTTATATATGTTTTAAACATGTGTCACAACTACGTAACATAAATAAAATATTACAACAAAACCATGAAAAATCACAAAACACTTATAAAAGTTATTTCATCCATCCACCTCTAACCTTTCAAGTCACAGTAGTAGATGGATAAAAAACAGCTAGCTAATGGATAACCCATTCACTGTGTTTCAAAGAAAACAATGATCATTCTACAGCCGCCATAATGCAATTCAAACATCCTCGCCATATCCGAATCGCTGCTGACCACCATTGTGTCAAGTGTCGCAAGTATAGAAGCAGATACGTTTATAGCAAAAGAATGTGGAATAGCACGAATGAATGACAGTTCACACAAATCTTCTAAAAATTTCAGGTAACCATAATTTTCTAGGTTCACATTTCTAATTTCATCAATATGCCGACCATAATGAACAATAATGGAAACCATGCCGCCAATGCAGTCTGAAAAGTAAGTACACAAAACTGAATAGTTCAGTGGTCAGACTGCAAAGTATAAATTATATATACACAGTTAAGATTAAAAAAAATATAGTTAAGAAACGAAAACTCACCAACTTCTCGGGTTGCAAGAAGCTGCCTTGGATTTCTTGGGTTGCAAAAAGTTGCCTTGGATATATTCAGTAAACTGAATAAAAATTAATAGTTAGGCACCATTAAATTTTCATTTATACCCAACAATTTCATTAAGTAAACTTGTTTTACATAAATATCTTAGTTATTAATGCAATGCTGCTGCATTTCTATTTTGCCGAACAACTAATTGAATGCAGCATTTTCTCTCTGTTTTGCTGAACAACTAATTGAATGCCACTACATCTCTCCTTTTGCCACACAAACCTCTCTGATGCATCTCTAAATACATTTATGTATGGTCAGATATGGTAGTTAAATTTTCACCATATAAAACCAAACTATCCACACTTTGTCTAACCACAAGCACAACGAATATGGAAAGGAAACCTAACCCATCTCCTCCACCACCAGTCCTCCAACCTCAAACAAGCATAGATGAAACTGATGAGTTTGATATGAACCATCCTAGCTTTCCAAATATTATCATGGGTAAGCTAACCCGTGTCATCAAGAAGATGTAGATAATGGAGAAAGAACTACGCTGGGTGGAACGTCGCTTAGCAGACCTGGAAAACGAGCACGATTATGCCCTCATGAACGAGCTCATTCCTCTATCTCCCATATCCTCTCCAAATGAAGGTCAAAACCCAGATGATGCGTAGAAGGGAGCCAACAGTTCAAGTCTTTTGTTATGTCATATATAGATCCATGTATTTTGCAAGCCTTTTGTAGTTCCTATAAGGAACTTACTTTCATACGTATTGCATGAAATATGAAATGTGAAATATGTACTTTTTGTACTATATATTGTTTTATGTATTACATATATGTATTTGTTACAAGTAACTAAGATAAAAAAATATCATATTATTATACTAACTAACATCACAAATAGAATTCATATAATGTAGGAACAAATTTATAACATCCGATTTATATTACCTTTTTACACTATTTTTTATTTCAATAAATATAATGATTTATAATATTATTTAGTATGAACTTGGGATTATGAAATATAGTGATATTATTTTATTTTGAAAAATAATTTAACGTACATAATAAGATGTAAACACTTTTTGTATATTTTGAACATTAGGTACATATAATGTATTTGAAAATAATAATATATTTTCTGAATAATTTTAGAATACGGGGTTCGAGTTGCTAGCAATTAAATCCAAACCTAACCCTAATTATATAAGGGTTCATATTTTACAACACAAACCCAACCGTAATTGTGAAATATCAGGCTATTAATTAAGGAAATTTTTACTTTATCTATTCAGGAAATTTTGACTTTACCTATTAAGGAAATTTAAAGAATTGGAAGAGTAAAAGATAAAATAAAGATAAAATTTTAGGAACTACAAAATTGAGGGAGGCACTGTAGAATTGTTTTCATATATATAGAAAAAACTTAACAATTTACCACTTATATTATAGCCAAACATAGCTTAACCACCTAACTAGATATTCGTATTTATAAAACAATATAATTATAATATTGTATTTATGAATAATAGTATAATTTTCAATTTTAAAATTCTTGACCGTTGAAATACAATCGTTACGTTTGTGAAGGCCTGGAGCCGTTACAACACTGACAGAGGCACGTTTATATATATATATATATACACACACACATATGCACACCAATACAGACACTTATTTTCCAACTCCTACCTTAATCTTTTTTTTGTTGGGTGGTATATATCTTTCTGACATAGGTCTTCAATGGCTCAATCCAACAACAATAGAATACGTCGTAAGGTTGAATGGCACACCCAAAATGTTTCTGTGGAGAATTGAGTCTGTTGCATGTTTCGCAGACAAGAGAAAATCTAGGGAGGCGATTCTTCAATTGTGCAGCAAGACGTTGTTCTTTTTTTGTGTGGGTGGATTCACCAGCACCTATTTAAAACCCAGTTGATCATGCAACTACTTCTGCTCCTGCTCTAGATACTGATCTTCTTAATCTATATTTATCAATTGCAAAAGCTTTCTTTATCTTCTTTTTTACAGCAATGGTCTTCCTTGGATTGACGGTTTTTTTACTTCTCCTCACCTTGCTGCATAAATGATATCTTATTTAGAATACTACTTTTATACTGGGGTGATATGTTATGTAATTGCATAAATAAAGTCTCAGATCGCATTACAGTGGCGGTTATCTTTTTGCATGTTTTTTTCTTATTTACATCATAATATATTAGTAAGTAACATCACAAATATTTTTCATCTATTGTATGAACACATTTAAAACATAAGATTTATATAAATAATATTATACATTTTCTGATTTCGCCTACATCATGGTGTTTTATAAATTAACATCACAAAGATATTTCATGTAGTGTAGAAACATATTTATAACATAACAGTCATATAAATAATTCAATGCATTTATCAGATTTATTTAATTGTCATACAAATAAATGTTTTGTAATCTCACTATATGTCTACTGTTACATGCATATACCATCACAAACACGTTTTTATCTGATTTGTCATACATCATAGTGTATTAATAACTAAAATCAAAAATATATTTTATCTACTGTATGAACACATTTATAACATAACATTTATGTAAATAATATTATACATTTTCATGATTTTGCCTACATCATAGTGTTTTATAAATTAGCATCACAAATACATTTCATATAGTGTAGAAACATATTTATAACATAACAGTCATATAAATAATTCAATGCATTTATTTGATTTATTTAATTGTCATACAAACAAATGTTTTATAATCTCACTATATGTCAACTGTTACATACATATGTCACCACAAACACGTTTTTATCTGATTTGGCATACATCATAGTGTATTAGTAACTAACATCACAAATATTTTTCATCTGTTGCATGAACACATTTATAACATTTATATAAATAATATTATACATTTTTCTGAATTCGCCTACATCATAGTGTTTTATAAATTAACATCACAAATACATTTCATATAGTGTTGAAACATATTTAAAACATAACAGTCATATAAATAATTCAATTCATTTATCTAATTTATTTAATTGTGATACAAACAAATGTTTTATAATGACATTTCTCACTATACGTCAACTGTTACATGCATATACCATCACAAACACATTTTTATCTGATTTGGCCATACATCACAGTGTATTACTAACTAACATCACAAATATTTTTCATGTACTGTACGAACACATTTATAACATAAAATTTATATTAATAAATGAACAGACATTATTTTATTTATAACATATTTTTACCAACTAACATCACAAATACAAATCAATGGTAACTACCTAATTCTGATTAATGTTATACTGCCATCAATGGTAACATATGAACAAATATTGGTTTTTTGTTTTATATTCATTGATGGAAGAGATGCCGCCAGCGAGTACAAATCATGTCTTCTTTCATTCTTATCGTCATCAATCAATTACAGTAGCGTCTCAAAACGCATTACTTTCGTGTCTTCCTATAATATTATCAATATTATATGAATAAATGTAAGTATCAATTAAATTACTTTAAATATATTGTACCATTAACTTATCAACATATTTACTTACATGTTCAAATTCATGATAAAAACATTCCCCATTCCACGTCTCCATAAACCTCATCACATAAAGTCCACATGATTCGCTGAAACGAAAATATGAAAACAAGTCAAATCGATCAACTGTTTTACAATTGGTTTACAACTAACCTGTCAAAACCGTAAAACCTCATCTTTACATGAAAGACACATTCAATTATACATACCTAACAGGTTGCTCGGGTATTTTAATTGGTATGTACGTATGATATTTTGTCAAATTTTCACTCAACACAATCCCAGCAAACTCTTTCTGTTGTTCAAAGCAACTTTTTTTTAAATATATTGCCAGTAAAAATTCTTTATATCAACTGAAACTCTATATACGTACCAACAAATTAAGATAGGAAATACATGTATAGGGTCTCCCTTTGAACAAATGCAATCCATTATTCGCTTGCGACGATTTACCACAAACAATAACCAATGCCCGTCTATGCATGACGGGAATAATAACTGCACCAAGGTCAGCATAAAGTTAATCATACAAAAATTAAGGTTTAAAAATTTATATCCAATAAATAAAAGACATACTCATCATCTGCGCTTGCATGGAATGTGGAAGAAAACTCATCTCAGAATCCTTGTGGTATTTTGACCAGACTTGTTGTAGGACAGGCCAGCGTCCAGCTTTGGTCTTTATCTTCATCAGATTAAAATCAATAATGAATTGTACCGCTCTACTACTAAAGTAGTACTTTTCCCCCCCAGGTCCTTCCTCCATGTTTAGTATATTCCCAAAGAAATTAATCACCTTTAAATAAATACATTTCATTTAGATACATTCAATTTTTATACCATTAACAACCACAACTATGCAATAGTAATGTACGAAATTCATTAAACTCACATCATCGGAAAACCACTTATCATGGAATACACTTTGAATCTGATAACGACTTATAATGCGACCAAACATAGAAACGATTATTTCACTGAAGAGACAATTAACAACGACGCTTGTAAATTAAGTATCATACTCACACATTACATATAAACACATGCAATAATTATTTATACGCAAACATACGTAATACAGAAGATAACAAGTGTGCATTAAAAAACTTACGAACTATCTCCATCAAACTTTCCCATATATGTCAACAGCATTTTCCGCTCCTTGGTGAGACAAACCATTTTATTGTTTTTCTTTATATAGGGAGCGTAAGTATATCCACAGCGCTTTAATTTCCTCTTCCCCCTTACAACCTTTACAAGTCCTTCATTCTTTGTTAACTCAATGTGGTCCGAACTTAACTCACTGTCTCAACAAGTGGCCGTAACAGCAGCATTCAACTCATTATTTTCCTCGGCACTTAGCAAAAGACTGTGAGTTGGACTAGAACAGCTCTCATTCTTTTCACCATGCTCCTGCTCATCATCATCTTTACACTCTTCCTCACTTCTTTAATCACTTTCTTCACCTTCGCTTCTTTCATTGCCATTGCCAGACTCTCCATCATTTTCTTCATCCTCACCTTCCTTATTGGCCTCATTGCCATCGGCAGAGTCTCTATCACTTTCTTCATCATCAGTTTTCTCATTCTCACCATCACTTTCTTCATCCTCAAATTCTTCATCCTCACTTTTTTCATTTTCAACTTCGTCATCCTCAACTTCTTCATCCCCACCTGATTCCTCAACACGGTCACCATCATCATCATTACCATCTGCATCACTTGGTTGCCCTCCCAACCCATCATTCTTCTCTTTGTTGTCCCTTGACAGTCTTGCTTTTTTTCGCATGTCCCGCTTCTTGAAGGTAGACAACATTTTTTATAGACTTTTTTTGGATTTTATTAGATTCAATTCAACCATTTGTATGTCCATTCGCACTTTACTTATGCAAGTCTGCGTAAAATAAGGACAATTAGTTCACATAACTTTTTCAAACAAATCATGTAAATAGAAAAAATGTATTTTACAGCACAATTACCTCCACATCCGAGTCAGAAAAATGATAATCATCAAAATCCGTATTTAAAGAAGGGCCGAAACCATCTTCGGTCGGCACATCATTACCACTGCTGCTACTGCTACATGTTTTCGGCTTCAGAGGAATCAACTATTTCCATTCCATATTTAGATAACACTAGTCTATCATCAAATTAGAATATATATATATATATATATATATATATATATATAACTACTTTCAACAATACAAAATACTATTCGTAAATATACCTGTCCATGTCCAAAACCTCCATTACCCATCTCCCATCTGATGCGTGATCGTACAACCTATGATGTCCAAAAACCAAAGCTTTTAATATCTCCCTCAGGATAAGCTCGATATTGCGTATCACAACGCATCAAATAAAACAGCTGATTTAAAATATCAATAATTAACCGTCTGCAGATGGTTCCAGGGTTCTCACCAAACAATCACGGACATATCCACACCAGTTGTAACTGCTAATTGCATTCACATCATCCACAGTTTTCAACAAGCCCCAATGACAATTATTACGACTAGTGGGACTGAGTACAGTACTGCAAGTAAAGAGCACAAACGCTTGCTTGAATTCATCCACTCCCTTTACCGTTAAAACCTGCTCTAACAATACATCTTGGTGCATTCCACCAGTTTCCTTGTAACCACCTTCATCTATCCACTTAGAATCAAGAAAGTGATTATTTTTCGGCACTTTTGGAACACTAAATGGTATGCCAAGGATCGAGTAGATATCAGCTAAATGGATGAGTATAAAGCCTATGTCCTCAACTTTTATACAACATTTTTCAGAGTCAAAATTTTTTATTAAATACATACAGAACTCCTGGGACAAAAAAAGGACATTTAAGTTCCAGTAATTTTCCAAATCCAAGCTCCTCAACAGCCTTTATCTTTTCCTCATCAAGCTGTGACACTACTTCGCGGAACTTGGAAAGAGAGCATCTGTGCCTGGTACCTTGGGTCAGATTGATCTTTTCCTTTTTCTTCTGTTTCAAAAACATATGATTATAACACATCATGCATACATTCTGGGTTTCGTCATCAAATAAAATATTTACATCAAAATTTAATTACCCTTTTTTTTTTTGGGCATTTCTTTCTTCAGGAAGCTTGTCGTACTCTTCCTTTGGTCTTGTACACTCCCTGATCCATGGCTCTTTATCAGCAGCAGACACTGCATTCCATGTCTGTCTAGCAGATTTGTGCACCGCATGCATCACTACCTTCGGTAACCTGTCATGTTTTGAGTGCTCTTTCTGGTACTTTCAAATGCAGTGCCCTTCATGTATGCATTACATATTATCATAACTTATTTTTACATGTATCATGTATGAATTGCATATTGCATCAACATATTTTTCTAACACGTTAAAACAATTAACTTCCCCAACTCAGTTTCACAATTCATAAATTAATAATAAGAACCGCAAATACTTTCAACATATATGTAGGAAGATTTGCATATTTCATCACCTACTATTTGTAACGCAATACAATACAAAACTTGGACATATCAATTTATTATGCTCACAACTTATCTAAACATGTATCATGTATGAAATTAACTTATCATTTATATTGCATCAACATATTAACCTAACAACTTAAAAAAAATTAATTTCCACAACTCAATCTCACAATTCCTAAATTAATAATAACAACCACAAACACTTTCAGTATATGTAGGAAGATTTCATATTCGGAGATAACAAATTATTATTATCACAACTTTTTAAAACATGTATCATGTATCAATTACATATACCATCATAATATTTTCCTAACATGTTAAAAAAATTAACTTCCAAAACTCAATTTCACCATTCCAAACCTTAAAATCTGAAATAAATTTCTAAACCCTAAAACAAATCGATACATAATCAATGTTTACCTATACATTAAGAATACTGTGGGAGGCCGGTTCACCAAATCCTGCTCACCACCAGAAATACCAACATTGCTTCGTCATTCACATGAGGTTTGTCCTTCATGTGAGACGTTTTATGTTCTTACATCATTGGTAAAAATTGACTTCTTCTTCTTAGGTACCTGGAACGTACGTTTATTCATTTTCTTCCTCGCTATAGATTTTAACCTAGCCATTAAATTTTGAAATTTTGAAGTTCAGACTAAGACGAAAAAGAGAGGACAGGAATTAGAAGGAAAAAGAATAGTGGAAGGTTCAGACGACGTGACGAAGATGAAGAGGAGAATATAGGAGTGAGATTAGGGTTCTGTAATTTTACCCAAAGGTAAAGTTAAAGGTAATTTTTAACCAAAAAAAAATTAAATTGTATTGTAAATCATGTATTCTTATACATATAATGTATAAGTATATGGTGTATTAGTATAAGTGTATGAGGTATTCGTACATGTAGTAAATGAAAATAGTATATCAGTAACTTTATTGTGTAAATGCTGACTGGATAATGATGTGGCAAATGGGCTGAGGTGGGATCTGCACTGGATCTGTCCAGTTAGAGGTGCACTAGAGCAGATTCGCGTCCAACCTAAACAACCCACCACTGTTCCCCTCCCCTAGTCAATACACGCACAAACATATATATATATATACACACATCTACACAAACACATCGCCATCACCCCTAAATGCACGACGGTAGTACAAAGTTAATCCGGTGGACTCCCCACCACATGGCGCCACCAAATTGGACATCGGCTGGATCTACTTCACCGTCGACCACGTCCAACGCGGTTTGATGGCTAGGTATTCGGAAACAGTGATGGCGAACTAATCGGGCCCCATTAACGTTGACATTGATGACGATGAGAACAAACCGAGCAACGAGACATGACGATAACCATTATCTGTGTCACCTTGGGGTAGATTAATGCCGCCATGACCAATCTCGAATCACAATAAATTTCTCCCACGACCGCTGCTGAACGCAACATTTGTTCCCTAAATCCTTGCAAAGCCGGTACGGGTCATCTTCTTCACCGCCGATAATTTTAAACCCAGTTTAGTTCCGACTTCTTTGCATCCACAGCCTGCTCGTATCAACTCCGATTAGCGTCTCGACGACATTATCATGAGGCTTTACACGCAGGTAAAGTTGAGAACAATATGCAAATCCATGTCGTACACCTCTTGAACAGTCGTATGATGGTTCAATACGACGAGCTTAACCCACTTCGGCTACTAGTAACGATTTGGGTGAGAATAAATTCAAACGCATCAAAATCAGGTGGGGAATCAATTTGGATGCATTGAATTGGATCTCACGCTTTGGGGCAAAGGTTGTGGTGGTGTCAGCGCCGCCTCCACCGCGGCCACCGTCAAAGTCGTACTAGACGATCTTGGAGGTATATATATATGTGTGTGTGTGTTGAAGATTTGGGTGTTTAAAGGTGATGTTGTTTGGTGGTGGGTTTGTTAGGGTTAGGGTTTTAGAGGCCATGGATTTGGTGGTGGTGGTGGTGGCGGTTACTCTGTTGTAGCGATGGCGGTGAACGGACATTGTGGTGGTGGCGATGGTGTTAGAAAGATGTGAGGTGTAACGAGGGTATACTTAGGGCAAAAGTGTTATTTAAGAGTTATGATATTTTACAATTTAAATCAATAAAAAGTTGAAGGGCAATTTTGACATTTTACATTTTTAATGGCTGTTTGGATCAAATTTCTAATAACAGAGTGTCATTGTCCAAAAATATGCCAACTTATATATGGTGTCCTTCGGGCAAACCTCAATGGGTGTTATTGTACTTTTTAATTTATAATGTAGCATTTAATTTTCAACAAGTAGCGTAGTTTTCTTCCAATGCATATATTTCAATTCCTGGATTAATGAAACTTTATCCTTCTTTTAGTTCCTTTAAATTCAGTATTTTAATCCATTTATTGCTTTCTTTAGTTAATTCCTTCTTCCACCATTTTCACAATTCTAAAGTCTTTGAAAAAGGCAAAAAACCTTTCGAAAGGGTGGCTATCAACCTAGGAAGCACGGACACTTCTACGAAAGAGCCGTACCCGTGTCGAATACCAACACTCCTCGAATACGTGTCCGACACTTCATATACGTATCTATAAATAAAAATTAGTTTTATTGTTTCGGACACTTTGCTGACACTTTCCGGACACTTCGTCGACACTTCTCGGACATTTCTAACATAAATCTACCCACAAATTTTGAAAATAATATGAATACTATCATGACAAAGTAGTGAAATACTAGTATATATGATATAAAAATCATTACAATAATGACATAATATCATTTTCTAATTTATCTCAGAACAACTCTTAGTATAGAAATTATAAATGAATTAAAATTTTATAATACTATTACTGAATAGATGTATAAAAATAAATATTTATATTTATATGCACTCGTGTTCATGCCGTACTCGTGTCCTACTTTTTTTAAATTTGACGTGTCGTATCTTGTCTATGTCCCGTGTCCGTGCTACATTACATAGCTATCAACTCTGCCAAAACAATATCTGGAATATTATTTGGTCTTTCTTGGATTTGGCAAGAATCTGGCACGTACGCTCACCTGACAAAAAATTATTCTGCAACCAAGTAGGTTGAAAGAAGTACGCAATTGAAACTATTAAAAAAGCTAGGGTCATAAATGAACCAAATGTTTGACAAACAGCTCGGGCTCGACTCGATAAGAGCTCGACTTGCATTCGTTTATTTGATAATAAAGAACCAAGCTCAAACAAGATTTTTAAGCTCGAGCCAATCTCAAACAATCCCAAGCTCAACTCGTTAGTTCGTGAACATGTTGTGAACAAAGCTTGTTAATAAGCTCGTGAACGTGACTATCTATATATATATATATATATATATATGTCCACCTTAAAGAAGTCCGCCCACCTTTTTTTTTAGCTCAAAAATATATTCTCAGACCCACTTTAATTAAAATTAACTTTCACCCAAGCAACATCCTGTTACCCTTTTTGGCCTTTTTAACTATAAGTTTACACCTTTTCTTTTTAACTTAAAACGTTTAGCCCATCCAAACCCAATCCATATACATGCAACCAACCATTTTAAAAATAAAATAGATACAGGCCGCCGAACAAATTAACATGTCTATCCACAAGCCCATTTATGAAGCCCATCCATAAATACATATCATCTCAACCTATATCCTCATCGCATCACTTCGAAGTCTGAACCCTAAAACTCCCCCAACCACACTCAGCCGACGATTGCGGCAACAACAACAACAGCCAAAGCAGCCAATGATTGCAGTAACGGCAAAAGTCCCAAATAGCCGACGATCACAGTAACAGCAATAGGCCAAGCCAAAGCTTCGTCTCTCTCATCTATTGGTGTTTCTCTCTCTCAACTGGTCTCTATTATAGTCGTATTTCTCTCTCAGCTGGTCTCACTCTTCTGTTTTCTTAATATTGGTGTGAATGATTGAAATCGGGAGTGTCAAAGTTTGAGGATGAAACGAAAATTGGTACGAATGTAAATATCGGTCCTGCGTGTATACACAGATTCATATATATATATATATATAAACGGGATTTAATTTTTTGTTTGGATTACGAAGCGAGCAGCCGAGCTCAATCATGGGCAGTCAAGGTTCGAGCCGAGTTCCCTTTGACTGAGTCGAGCCGAGCCCCAACACTTCAAATCTGCTCGGCTGATTTACAGCCTAGAAGCAAATGTTTGGGACAAATTTAACTAACAATGCAATAGTTTTTTCTTTATTTATTTATTTATTTTTAAGTAGTACCAATGCAATGTTAGGACGGTAAGAATAAAGAAATGGGATGGGTTTGTTGATTTAACTTCGCAATTTAGTGCAAGAAGTCTTTGTTTATTTTTTTATTTTTAAGTACTAACTGTAAGAATAAAGAAATGGGATGGGTTTGTTGATTTAACTTCGCAATTTAGTGACCTAAGCCTCAGTTGAGGGATGGGCCATTTAGGGAGAAAAAATAAAAAATAAAAGGATGACTACGGTTGTATTTATTATTATTATTTTGAAGTTAAAATAAACCCACTGTGTTTTTGTATAAATGGAGGAGAAAGATCCATTTATTTGGATGATAATTTCCTCCAACCATCCGTCCTGCTTTAATGGGGCAAATTATGTAAGCCCCTAAATGAGTTTGGTATATATACGGTAAAATAATTAAAAATTCAAAACTCTGTAACTTTAATATGTATATATAATATTTTTAAGACTCTTGTTATTTTATATTAATAAATTAAAATTTACTACTTAATAATTTAAAAGTTGTGACATCTTATTTATTAATCCAATTTGAGCACATTAGACTAATTTTTTTAAACTAAATAATAAAAGTGACATAGCCTTCCCTATCCCACAATTAAATAAAATACGCAAGGTAACAGAATGGAGTAAAATTTAACCAAACTTATTCCCGTTACCATCCCCATTCATTTATATATGATGTTGGAATAAGTTATTGCCAAAATAGCGGTCAACTAGTAACTTTTTTACAATCTAAAATCCTTACCGTCTCTAATTTCAAACTTAAAACTTTCATAATTTCAAACTTAAAACTTTCATGTCACAATAGAGTAATCTTACTATCACACTAATATTGTAAACTTACTAACTTTATATTAAGCATACGTGACAAGACAAGTAACCTTAAAATGAACAATTTGACACAAATAAAATCCTAAATTTTATGGAATATTAATGGTAAGTGTAAAAATACAATATAAAAATTGTAACTGATCATTCGATTATGCCTTGCGGACAAGATCAATGGAATAAAATTGTTTCCGCATGATCATTCAATAAACTTAATAGAGAATAACAAAATAGGAAAGCGATTAAAGATTTGGTGTGAGAGTAGAAAATAAAGACCTGAATCGCAGCCACAAATATCCTGCCTGAGGTATGCTATTACAAAAAATGATCTTTTAACCATATAGACTTGGCTCATCACTACAAGCGACTTCGGTCTCCCCAACCCCGCATAGCCCATCATTGAGGCGACAACGACATTACTAGGGAAACAAATGGTTCTCAAATTTAGATGGAGTCACATATGCTGCCATGCCAGAATGAATATGTTTGTGCATGGATCAACATTCATTTGATGATCTTGAAATGGACCCGTTCTCAGATCCATGTTCCCAAACTAGTTCTGAGAAATCACTCTCAAAGAAGGCAGAGTGGAGAGACCTAACACATTTTTCTGCTTCGCTGTCATTTACTATTAATGAGATGTTAACCTGTTTTCGCAGCAAAAAAAAAAAATGTCAGAAGAAGATGCAATGATGATGAGGGAATGCCAAACATAAACTTCTGAGAATTCAGACCTTTACAATAATATTCACTGTTTGCTCGCATTATTTTGCTATAAAATATTGGGAGACAAAATAAAAGGGTCCAGCCTCAGAGTTCTAAATTATATGCCATGTTAAAAGGAATTGCCCTGCATGTGTTGGGCTGATTGTGTGTGCATTAGCGATGAATTATCTGGACCACTGACCATTTGCCAAGTGTCTTGTGGTGCTTAAGACCTGTGCTTGGCTCTAAAGCAAAATTATACCAAAAAGGAGGTCATTATCAGTGTAGTCCCCCTTAATAGGAGCTTCTGGGAGGGGTAGACTGGATTAAGCCCAACACTGCTTTATTTGAATAAAATGGCTTCTCTTGATTCTATCTCGTATTTTAATGCTTGACAGCATGAGCATTTACCAGTGCACTGAGCAATGACCTTTAATATACAACTTAGACAATGACACGTGTGTGCGCGTGCAAGAGAGAGCAACATTTCATTGTTTGCAGCTACCTTAGATGCACCTTGAGAGATCATCTGAACATTAACTCCATTGGTATGAAGTACATGAAATGCCTGCCAGAAAATGTACCAAAAAAATGAGAATCAATATTAAAGGGGTTAATGTGGCTATTTTGTATTATTATTATCACTAAGCAAGCAATTGCCAGGGAACACAACTAAAGAAAACAGCGGTTTAGTCTGCATTCTAAAGCAACACACAAGAATGATTCAGAATGCATTTGGAGTGATTTCTAGAAAATTAAGTGGGAAGCAAAGACTGTCTGTTGAAGTGAATAAACATTCTTTTTTGTATAGCATTTCACCTTGCATTCATGTGGATCAGAGGAACTTTCTAGGTAAACCCTTTGATACGGGTTAGATCTAAAATCTTTGACAGAAAACAAATGTAGAAGTTTGTTCAGAGTTCAAAAGGTAATTCTTTAGTGAAGTTTCATTCACACATGTTGGCAGAGATGGATACCCAAAAGGAATTCTTTAGTTACAAGTCCAAGCAACAAAATATACTCTCTGGCTGCGAGATTGGCAGAAATGGATGCTCACAATAATATGAAAATAAAGGTTATTAGTGCTGTATAAAAGAATGAACTTGGCATGCCAATAAAACAACAAAACCGAATTAAAACAATACAACAAAAACTAAGCAAACAGCCAGACTGAATGATTTATGAATGCTAACAGCACCTTTTCTAGTATTAGTGAAGACCTTTGGACATTCCCAATGAGAGAGACGATTGATCGGTGCTGCAGGAGATTTACAACCGCAATTTTTTCGAGTTCTTCCACAACATGGTCGAGTTCCTGCTCAAATAAGCAGGAAACCAAGGTCAGAAGTTAACGGTTGAAGAACTGTACAAGACAAACCTCAACTATTATATATAATAGAAGAAACAAATGATATGGCGTGCATGAAGGTAATAAAGATCTCTACAGTTTTCATATTGCATGAATCCTTATATACAGTAGTAACCAACATGGATTATCTATATGGTGAAAATATACAAGATGGATTATGAGTAATTGAAACTGAAGCCTATAAAGTAATAAATCCAACAATAACATGGATCATGATTTCATACGCTTGCCTGCTGAATCAGTTCTCTGCTCCAGAGCTTTGACGGATCCAATGTCAAGGAAATACTGACTTCACTAGTAGCTACAACATCCACTGATATACCCAAGTCTTCAAAGATTGAAAACACCTGAATGGTGACAATGTTAGGCATGGTGTGTTAGACTTGGAAAAGCAATTGAGCCTGCATGAGGATAAAGAATCACCACATTCAGTACTTAGCATTTTTACCTTAGCGAGAAAGCCAAATTGACCAAGCATGCGAGTGCTAACAATGTCCAACATGGTTACATTGCGTTTCAAAACAATGCTAGTTAGTACTGCCTGGAATTGGAAAATGGACAATTTAGGCTGTTTGAAGTTTTCTGTACAAAATTGACTTCCGCTTTCTGAACAGTTTGCTGTGACAAACCTTACTCATGTCTCTTGTCCTAGTGATCAGGGTACCTGGGGCATTAGGGTTGTAAGAATTCTTAACCCTAACAGGAATATCACCCTCTCTAGCTGGCCTCATGGACTGTGGATGCAGGACCTGTAAAAGCACCCAAAAAAAAAAAAATTTATTCACTTGCCTGATTTTTGGGGGAAAAAGGAATATTCATTATTTTATCTGTTGCTACACTTGCTATTTTTTTCATGCTATGATTTATCATTTAGTTTCTGGATTTGTCAAGGTTTGAAGAGATCAACAAATAAATCAGAGATTATAGATACAAAAGAAACCCTTCAAATCAAAAAAGTTAAAATTTGAGCATTTAGAGGGATATTCAAATGCTTCACAAGAAAAAATAATTAACTTAAAAGTGAAAACTTTGCAAATCCAATGAGTTTGAGGACAATCAAGTATCACACATCTCAAACCAAACTTGGAAATGTATGGGGAGATTAGATAACCACAATTACATAAATTTGAATTAGTCACATAAAATTGGCCAGGTTTGGATTAATATAGGATGGATGAATCAACTTGAAAATATAATCAACTAAAAAGTGTTGGATGATTCAGAAAATTATTAGTGTCTTTTCATTTTCTACTTCAGTTGAAAATGTGGATATCTAGATTAGATTGCTAGTTAAATTTGATTCAAAAAAATGTCAATTGCTGGAATTCAGCCACTTGAACAAGTATGACTTCAGAAGAAACTTGCAAATGAATATCATTTACTGAAGACCCATACTGATCCTAGCCCATATTACCCATGCAACCAAATTGAACACAAGGCAGTGCCATTTTCTGATAATCTGTCAATGATAAAAATCAATACTTTTATGATACCTGAGCACCAAAATATGCAAGTTCAGCTGCCTCGTCAAATGTTAGATATGGCACAGGTTCTGCACGTCGATATATGTTAGGATCACATGTCAAAACACCATCAACGTCCTTCCATACCTGTAATATATGAGAAATAGGTTCTTAATTATTTTTGAGCTAAGAAACATGGACAATTCTAACGAAGAGCCGTATATATGCAGATCCCATACTGGACACTAACATTTCGTGAACACTTTGGAAAACATGTTTGACAAATCTTGGACATGTCCATGGTTTAAAAGAACAATTCTCAATTTTAAACATGTAGTCAACACTCATGAGCACTCACAACCATGTGACCAGCAAAACTTTGGACATCAACACACACATTTCTTTTAGCATGACAAAAAGTATAATTGTAAAGTAAAATCTAATTAAAGGCTACATAATATGCGTAAAAGATCAATTATAATAAAAGAAAGTAAGATATAGGAAGATCTTATCAAAGAAAAGGACATTGTAGGAAGACAGTAGTCATCGTAATTATATCTATATGTATATGTATATATTGGCATACGCCCTAAAGATCACAACGGGCGAGCCAGTTGAAGTGCCAGTGATCACACAACCAGAGCCCATTGTACCAATCCAGGACCTTGTGGTCAAAGGGCTGGGTTATGGGCCTGTTACCCACTGCTGAAGATATTCGTAAGGCTTGAAATTACATACACACAATAGTGCAATTATATGTTGTCCCCTTATTCTTTGTCCATGACACATAGCGATTATTAATAACTGAGTCGTTTATAGCCATAAAATACTAAAATAACTTGCTGTAAAATCGTATGCATTCTATATAGTATAATTCTACGATAATTCTAGGGACCATTACTCTCTGCAATGGACATATGTTCAAGAATAAGAGCAGCCACTTTTTGCAGAACATTGCCAAAAGTTAAGCTCGTCCCCACTGTTTCCCTCTTAATACACCACATATACAAGAGCAGTATTGGGTAATTTTTTTTTCTCCTTTATATTATAATTTTATATATACAAAAATATTTCTATGTTGCTAAGTTCTTACTCCTTACCATGTCTACGTCCTACATTTTTAAAATTTACTGTGTTATCACTTACATGTCGTGTCATGTCCATGATTTAAAGATTTGGCCTAGAACCACCATTAAGGGTCATGTTAGGTACATGTTCTAGAAGCTTGATAATATTCTAGAAGAATTTGTAATTTTTAGAATAATAATGTTTAACACATTCGTGCAATAGCTAACTTGCATTTCTTTAGACTTTATTTCTGTTTGCATGCTCACATGCATATTAATAATGATTAGCGGTATACATATGCACATATTCTGACATTTCATAATTATGCATTCAGTTTACTAACCTGAATTTCACGCAACCCCAATGCTTTACCAATAGTTGTGGCTGTCAGATCACTACCACCCCTACCCAATGTAGTCACTGCACGGGATCTCCAGCCCTGCAAATTGCAATCATAGTCCAAATGCATAACAGCATTATAAACCACAGAACCAACAGCCCAACCAAATTGGAGCAGAAATTACGACTATAACAAAGAAACGGGGGAACAACAAACTGGAAAACCTTTCCAAGGAAGCCAGTAACGATAGGAATTGCAGGATAACTAATCCAATCACTGTGTAATCTCTTTGCAACAGCTGGATAAGTTGCTTCCAAAATATCCGCATTAGTAAAGTCATCTGTTGTTATAAAACCAATTTCGAACGCATCATACTGCAAAAATACAGTCATTGTTTCACTCAACCATCAGCAGAAACTAATAACCGAAAAACCACCAGCAGAACCGGTATCAACAAAGCCTAAACGAAAAATGCAGCAGGAAGTATAAAAAATAAACATTTACTCTCAGCAGATTTAGCTAAGCAGGGATCTCTCAGTTTTATACCTTTGTTTCTCAGCAATCTACACATCCAACCAATAACTTATTAAGCGAACTATGGGCATTGGTTGAAAGAAACAGTTTTCAGATACAAAATACATGCACATGCAGAACATAATAAGCCCATAGAATTAGGTTCAAAACATATTACTAAAGAAATTCATAATTATTCAGATCAAGAGGATGGGAAATTATATATTATAATGCAGAATCCACTCTACAGAGATTTTTTAGCATAGAGCACAATTTAGAGTTGTGTAAAAAAAATTCAATTCAAATTTACATCTCAAATTGTAGTTTAATCTTTTTACTTGGTTTTACAACACCTGTCTGCTATAATTTTGAGAAAACAGTGTCAAGCAACAGCTACTTGAAATTTTTATCTTTAAAAATTATTATATGAGGCGCCAAAGACTCTTCCTATGTTATAGTGTATATCTTCAACGTAGAAAGTTTTTGTTTTCTTCTCACCTTTAGCATACAAGATTTGTACATTTGGAAGTTTTGCATGCAATTATAGCTTCTTTATCAGAAGGTCGTTATAAGCATATAAGCAAAATATGTTGGCCTCACCAAAAATGATTGAGAGAGAGAGGCAATTAATGGAACCTCCAATTCTAGAATCACCAGCCTGCCGTGATGTTTGATAAAAATTAACATATAATCCCAAAAATGTATGTCTGGCTACTTTCTTTATGCAACTGTTACTGAGTAATTTCATTATTTATTGGAGTATATGACCTTGCTAGGCATACAGATATTATATAAATTATCATAAAGCAACATACTTGCCGAGCTTTAACACCTATTTTATTCAAATATGCTGCAAAAAGTCTCGTTGACATGCACTCTCCGAATGAGACTAGGTAGTCTTTTGTGCGTAGTGTCAACTCTTTCATCATAGCAATTCCCTTCAGAAGTTGCTCCAATTCTTCCAGGTGTGCTGCATATTGTTTTTCGCAAACAAAATGATGACAGCCAACAGAGACATTAGTAAGAATGAATGAATATCAGCTCCATAGGCATGCAGAAACAAATAGAACTTATAGGCCATAAATAAATACTGGGAATATCAAAGTTATACTTTTATTGAGAATCACAAAGGCTGGAAATTTCTATAATTCATAGTATTAGCTTGTCAATGTGGATACCATCTATGTTTCATAAAAGGTTTCGTTGTACTTGTACTACTGTAAGGTGCGTTATTGAAGAACTTTGCCAAGATAAGATGAGCCAGGCTTCCATGTTCAGTTCGTTTCATAGAGAGTCCCTCCTAAAATAAATATGAACCACTTAACATCATTATGAAATGTTTCAAATTGTTACCGGCGAGATACCACCAGCATTTTTGAGCCGCAAACATCAACAATGGAACTTTTAGAATACTGTTTCCAGAATTTAATTTTATCAAACACCAAATGACCTATATGTTCCCGAAGGAGATGTTACAAAATTTCATGCAGATCTACTCATGTATCCAACAATCAGGAAGTAATACAGGGTTCAAAACAAGAAGATATTATATAAGGAGATTTGAGTCACAGAGAATATATATAACTGTTGATACATCATATCAAATCAAAAGTGTTCATATCAACAAATAACAACTGAATCTTATTGAAAATAAGAACTCACGGGAAATAGTGGAGCTGTCCACTCCAAGCTCATCCACGGTCCTGAATAAAGTATAGCAATGCCAAATGAGAAGGGATTCAATCTATATGTTGCAATTATGGTTTCAGAGATCCAAATAAGGAGAGGAAAGAAAAGATATTACCTAAGATGAAGTTCTTTTATTAAGGTTAACTCTTCGATATCAGATATATTAGAAACACCACAACTGACAGCCTTTTCTCCAGCCTAATATACAAGCAGTCAAATATTCTTGAAAAGGATATAATCATGTAACAGATAAACTGAAAAGTCAAAAATAAATATAGGCTAATACCAGTAAAAGCTTGTTGGTTGTCTTTCCCATAGCAGAGAGAACAATCACAGGCCTCTCTTCTGGAAAGCTGATAATAAGGTCAGCTACCTCTCTCATCCTCTCAGCCGAGGCAAGTGATGATCCACCAAACTTCATCACACATGTAAAATCCTTACCAACTCCATCATAAACTTGATTCTTGGTTTCACTTTGTTCAACCACATCTACATTTCTCCCACCACAACTGACTCGGAGGACTCTTCTCCTAATAAATGAATTCTTGCTAATTCTAGATGATCCGGAAACTGAAGCCACAGAGGTTGCAAAATGGAGCCACTGTTGCAAGCGCAAAGGTTGTGAATGCAAAGTTGTCCTTGAAGAAGGGTGATAGGGAGATTTAATTCCGTAGAAATGCATTGTAGTAGCCATGTCAAATCGAATAAAGGATTTCGGCTTCTACAAACGGATTGAGACCTAAACCCAATTAAACAAGTTAGGATTTTCCAAAACCTTAATTTGATTTTCCAAAACCAATAACCAATTAAAAGATTGAATAGGATAACATGTTCTCTATATAAAAACATCTTTTTAGCATCGAGACCTACAGGAGGTACCATGACTTTAAAATTGAAATAATTCAAAACAAATATCAGGTAAATGACATACAGCATGAAAGTATTAACTTACATAATTGCTTCCCAAGAAAGCTTCTTTTAAAAATAAAAATAAATAAAAATAAATAAAAAATAAAGAAGAAGAAGAAGAAGAAGAAGAAGAAGAAGAAAATGTGCGTAAACAATTGATTTACATTTATAAACTAATACTAATTGTAATACTAATAGTAAAGCAAATGGTTGTTCTAGTAGTAGGCTCAGTCCTGGTCGAAAGTAGAAAACTAATGCGGTGTTTTACAGCCAAATGGCCTCTCTCTCTGTATATATATATATATATTTGAGAAGGAAACTAAATGAAAAACAAACCAAATGGCCTCTCTCTCTATATTTGAGAAGGAAACTAAATGAAAAACGAAATTACGAAGCAGTTCAAAAGTACCTGGACACACAGAGGTTGAACGAAGAAATGCAGGGTAGATTTTGAAAAAGAGATCTAGGGTTTTGGTCACCCAGTGGGAGCTTGAGGGAACGCCAAACGCGACTGAGTTAAGAAGAGTCCCGGCGGCGCCCCCACACGTATTTTACCTACTTATGTTGCAACAAATTCCATTATTGGGTGCCGATGCTATTTAAACATCTCATGAATCAAATTAAAATAGACTTACAAATATACTTGTACTGAATATTCATATTCTCAGTTTAAGAAAAATAATCACCAATATGTTACCTTTAATAACATATTTCAATAAAATAATTTTTTGTAAGTCTAATTAGCACAACTAGTAACTATAAATTCTAAGTCTCTATGGTTACTAAAAAGGTTTAGTAATAATATTTTTTATTAAATAAATAATAATTAAGTATAATATAAATAAAAAATCATACCATATATAATATGTGAGAATTAAAAAATAAAAATAAAGGATAAATCTAAAAATTGAAGTAAATGAAAAAATACCAAAAAAGTTAATATATTAGCATTTATAAATGATAATATAATATACATAATATTTAAATCACAAAAAGTTAATATTTATAAGTGAAAATTAAAATATATCTATACTATTATTAAATGTGCAAAGAGTTTCAGTAATTCAGTATTTATTTATTATTTATTAATTAATATAAAAAGAATAATTATTTTTTATAAATAATTATCACAATATAACTGGTCCGGCTTAGTTATGATTATGTCATTATAAGGAGAAGCCACATATCATCATCATATTAATCCAATAAATCTATAAATAGAGGCATGGAAAAAGGAGTAAATGGTACAGAAATTGAGAATTCTAGAAATCTAGAATTCCAGAGTAAAATACGAAAACTCTGCCAAAGAATTTTAGTATTTATTTATTTATATAAATAAAATTTATTAATTGATATAAAAAAAATATTTTATTTATACAATTATTAAATGTGCAAAAAGTTTAAGTATGTATGTATTTATTTATTTATATAAAAAAAATATTTATTAATTGATGATATGAACAGAGTTTTTTTTTTTTTTAAAAAAAAAAAAAAACTTTATAAAACTATAATTTAACTAATAAAATTTAAATTAACCTATTTATCTATTTATTATTATGAATTTTTTAATAAAAGAAAATCTAATTATACAACAATTATTAAAATAAAAAATATTTATTAATTGTTATAAAAAATAAAATAATTTTTCTAAAACTCTTCCACAAATTAGCTTTTATTATGAGTTTCTTAATAAAATTAAATCTAATTCGACAAGGATATATTTAGAGAAAATAAAATAGTTTCGATAAAATTCTATCACAAATTACCTATTTTATTTTCAATAAAACTTTATCACGCTAGACAAAGATATATTCAAAGAGTTTCTATAAAAATCTAACACAAATTACATATTTATCTATTTATTATGAGTTTTTTAATAAAAAGAAATCTAATTAGACAAGTATTATTAATATAAAAACTTATTTATTAATTGATATAAAAAGAGGTTTTAAAAGAGTTTCTTTAAAATCCTAACACAAATTACCAATTTATTTATTTATTATGAGTTTTTTAATCAAAAAAAATATTAAAATAAAAAATATTTATTAATTGATATATAAAATAAAATAATTTTTCTAAAACTCTTTCATAAATTAGCTTTTATTATTTCTCATTTTATCAATGAAAAGGGATTAGGAAGATGATGAAATAAATTTTGTCATATTAATAGTTTTAAAAATAAAATAATTTTTCTAAAACTCTACCGCAAATTAGCTTTTATTATGAATTTCTTAATAAAATTAAATCTAAGTAGACAATGATATATTTAAAGAAAATAAAATAATTTTTATAAAACTGTATCACAAATTACCTATTTTATTTTTTAGTAAAACTCTATCAATAGACAAAAATATATTTAAAGAGTTTCTATAAAACTCTAACACAAATTAACTATTTATCTATTTATTATGAGTTTTTTAATAAATGAAAATCTGATTAGACAAGTATTATTAATATAAAAAATTATTTATGAATTGATATAAAAAAGAGGTTTTAAAGAGTTTCTATAAAACTCTAACACAAATTATCTATTTATCTATTTGTTATGAGTTTTTTAATAAAATGAAATCTATTTATTGTGAGTTTTTTTAATAAAAAATATTTATTAATTGATACGGATATAATTCGATGTTTTATTTAATAAATTGTTGAAAAAATAATTTAAAAAATGAAAAAGAAAAATTACAAGTATAGATAAATTAGGATACAATTTGTTATTTTTGTTAAAAATTCAACACTAAATATGAATGTATATGTATCATTTCTCATTTTATCATTGAAAAGGGATTAGGAAGATGATGAAATAAATTTTATCATATTAATAGTTTTTATAAAAATAGTTTATATAAAACTCTAAAAATTAGCTAATAAAATCAATCACAATAAAGTATTTATTAATTGATATAAAAAGAATAGTTATTTTTATTGGTAATTATTGCAATATAACCGGCCCGGCCCAGCTATGATTTATAGAAATTCATAATTCTAGAGTAAAATACATAACTCTGTCAAAGAGTTTCAGAAAAAATATTTATTCATTGATATAAAAAGATTTTTTATCTATATAATTATTAAATGTACAAAGAGTTTTACTAATTATTTATCTATTTATATATAAAAATATTTATTAATTGATGATATGAAAAGAGTTTTTTTTTTTTTTTTTTTTTTTTAAAAAAAAAAAATCATCTATAAAACTCTAAAATCTAACTAATAAAATTTAAATTAACCTATTTACCTATTTATTATTATGAATTTTTTAATAAAAGAAAATCTAATTAGACAAGAATTATTAATATAAAAATATTTATTAATTGATATATATAATAAAATAAATTTTTTAAAACTCTATCACAAATTAGCTTTTATTATGAGTTTATTAATAAAATTAAAACTAATTAGATAAGGATATATTTAAAGAAAATAAAATAATTTCTATAAAACTCTATCACAAATTACCTATTTTATTTTCAATAAAACTTTATCACACTGGACAAAGATATATTTAAAGAGTTTTTATAAAACTCTAACACAAATTAATTATTTATTTATTTATTATAAGTTTTTTAATAAAAGGAAATATAATTAGAAAAGTTTTATTAATATAAAAAATGATTTATGAATTTTTATAAACAGAGGTTTTAAAAGAGTTTCTATAAAATTCTAACACAAATTACCTATTTATCTATTTGTTATGACTTTTTTAATAAAAGAAAATATATTTATCTATTTATTTTGAGTTTTTTAATAAAAAATATTCATTAATTGATACCGATATAATTCGATGTTTTATTTAATAAATTGTTGAAAATTTTGAAGAAAAAAAAAAAACGAAAAAAGAAAAAGGGAAAATTACATATAAATGGAGTTAAAGTTCCATATTTACTTAGAGGCTGAGTCAAAGATCCATATTTCTCTAAAATGGATTGCTGAGGTGGCACATGGTTTTTTACTGTTTAGAAATTGTGGTACCTAAAATACCCTTCCGCGAAGGTACTACTTTTTCTTCGAAGGTACTACTTTTTTGAACTGAAGGTACTACTTTTTGGCGTTCAGGTACTATGTTTTTTAAACACCCGCGAAGGTACTACTTTTTCTCCGAAGGTACTACTTTTTTGTTAGGGAAAGGCATTTTAGGCACCACAATTTTTTAAACAATAAAAAACCATGTGCCACCTCAGCAATCCATTTTAGAGAAATATGAAACTTTGACTCAGTCTCTAAGTAAATATGGAACTTTGACTCCATTTATATGTAATTTTCTCAAAGAAAAATTACAAATCTAGATACATTAGGATATGGTATGTTCTTTTTGTTAAAAATTCGGCACTAAATATGAATGTATATGCATAATTAAAAATTACCTAATAAAATTAATCACAATAAAATATTTATTAATTGATATAAAAAGAATAGTTATTTTTTAGAAATCCAATTATAGAAATCCAGAGTTCCGGAGTAAAATACAGAAGTTCTATCAAAGAGTTTCAGTATTTATTTATTTATATAAAAAGATTTTTTATCAATACAATTATTAAATGTTACAAGAGTTTTAGTATTTAAGTATTTATTTATTTATATATATATAAATATTTATTAATTGATATGAAAAGTGTTTTAAAAAAAAAAATTCTATAAAACTCCAAAATCAAACTAATAAAATTTAAATTAACCTATTTATCTATTTATTATTATGAATTTTTTAATAAAAGAAAATCTCTAGCTTTTCTTGATTCGAGTTTTATTATGAGTTTATTATTAAAAGGAAATCTAATTAGACAAGGATATATTTAAAAAAAATAAAATAATTTCTATAAAATTCTATCACAAATTACCTATTTTATTTTATATAAACTCTATCACATTTGACAAGGATATATTTAAAGAAAATAAAATATAACCTAGGGTCTTCTAAAAAATCACAAACTCCATATAATAAATTTTTATATCAATTTCAATCTAATGTATGATTAGTATAATTGAATTTTTATTTTAAAATTTAATTAAAAATTAACAGAATTGAATTTCTATTGTAAATTTAAAATTATACTAAATTTCAAATTTCCTAATAAAATTCAAATCTATACTATTATATATATATATATATATATATATATATATATATATATATATATATACACACACATAATTTTTTATATATTACCTAATAAAATTCAAATTACAAATTACCTAAAAGAATTTATTACTTTGTAAAACTCAAATATTTCAGTATTAAATAAAAAAATATTAATTAATAAAAAAATAAAATACAAATATTTCAGTATTAATATTAAAACCTAAAAGAATTTATTACTTTGCAAAACTCAAACTCTATCACCAATTTCAAAATGTTTCAGTATTTATTTATTAATATAAAAAATATTTTTTAATTAATATAAAAAGAGTTGCAAAAAATTACAATTTTTTGTAAGGTTTATTTTTACAAGCTTCAAATCAACAATTAAAAATATATATATATATGAAAACAAAAATTCTATAAGTTACAAAACATTCACCACGTACATCGCATGTATCTTTTCCCAGTATATATATATATATATATATAAGTTTTTGAAAGCTGAAGCATCTCTAGAACGTTTATTTATTTATTTATTTATTTATTTTATTTAAAAAAGATGTTATATTAACTAATTATATGTAATTTTAACGTTTGAGATGACAACATTTTGTAGTACAAGAAACTGTAGGCTTGCTATTGGGTTGTTTAGACGTTGAAAGACAAATCACTTGTAATGTTTTCTTCCATTTGAACTTGTGTAACGCTCTAGTTATAGTCGGCCACTCTATTTATCCGGGGTCCAGACCTAAACGTCCTCCGAATTGGTTGTTTGGCGTGACACCAAATTAAGGACCGAGTCCAGCTGTAATACCAACTATAACATGTTTACCCAGTTACATAAATGCTTAATATATTGGGTAATGCTGCATACCCACCCATTTATACATAAAAAATAAAAATAAAAATAAAAAAAATATAAAAAAAGAAAAGAAAAAGAAGCAACTGGCTTTTACGACTACGTAGTATTATATATAGAACTTTCTCCATGTCTAAATTTCTAACTCCCTCAGTCTAGTTGTAACGGGTAGGCTTTTACTCATTTATCTAAAAACTTAAGTTATTAAATAGTGCTGGCAACGCTCTCATTGTGGTTGGGCGCTTGGCGCGACACCGGATCAAAAATTGGGTCTGTCTCTTGTACTAACGATAACGGGTGGGCATTTGCCCATTTACCCAAAAGTTTAAGTTATTGGGTAGTGTTATATACCCACCCATTTATACTCTTTTTACTTTGTATCCGGATCCGATGTGGGACAATAACTGGTTATGTAAAGTGTGGAATATCTCTTATTGGTTGATTGTTACAAGGATACTTGTCCCACATCAAATCCGGATAAGAAGTGAAATGAGTATAAATGGGTGGGTATGTAGCACTACCCTAATAATTTAAGTTTTTGGATAAATGGGTAAGAATCCACCCGTCACAACGAGGCGTCCGGGTGAGCCCACCCGAATAGGCAAGTTGGCCCAACCACAACGAAGACATTGCGAGTTTAGGCGAGAGATAATGTTACAAGTGGTATTTGTGATCCGAATGGAAAGTGAAATGAGTATAAATGGCAGATATACAGCAATACCCATCAACTATTATATATATATATAAAGGTTTTGGATCCTTATTTATCATCTTATGGAGCTAAAGTCATAATATTTTGAAAAAATTAAATTGACCAAAATATTAACATAGAGATAAAAAATATTATTCATTTGATGAAACTACTATTACTTATCCAGATACCACTTTTATACATATAAATATCACTCTTATGGTCAGAGTGATCACTCTTGTTCAGTTAGACACCATTTTTTTTTTTTTTTTGCAAACCATCATAGGTCTCACAGACTCTTGTTAAGTTGTTAATTAGGTTTGTTCCTCCTCCAATTCAAACTTCAACTACTTGGTACTTCAATCACAATGTAGTCAAATCTTGTGTTAGTCGATGATATTCCACACGTAACTAGGTTTAGATTATTTCTAGTTTTATTTCCTTAGCATCTCTTGATTATAAGAATAAATTTGTTTATTAATAGATCTCCTTCTACGTATTGTAATTTTGTTATTTCACCATTAACCAAATTTAATTCTCCCGTCTATCTCTTATAATTATAATTTTTCTTTACCCAATCAAACTCGTCAAGAGGTCTTGGAAGAACTTATTTACTTTGACTCCATAATTTTTTATTCCCATAACTCTATAAGAATAACCCGACCTTATCCAATGGATACTCTTTCCTCTAAAGCATACACTCAAAGCCTTGTACATTGGCATAATTTGGTTGGTTTGGTTCTCACCCTCAATCCCTAAACATTCTTTTCTGTCTATGGACAGCAATCTAAGAAAAACTTTTCACACTTGACAAACTAGCAATGGACTATAGGATGCAACCAAATGTTTGTATCCTGCGTGTTAAAGCAGCAAGAAGCCATGAACACTTGTTTCACCGGTGCTCGTGCTCGAAGATCATTTGGGAAAAACTTCAAGAAAAATGTAGGTTTTATACTAACCCAAACTCATGGCAAGATTTTCTCATATGGGCATCTTCAAATTGGAAGCAAAAAATGAAAGTTGGTAGAATTTTGATACCTTGGCAAATTATGTACATCACATTTGGATGGAGAGGAACAACAGAATCTCAGTATTGTTGCTATGCCTATTTGAAGTTCTGTTCTTGAAGTAGTTGATGCATATGGACTGGACTCGTTTTGTTTTGGTCTTGTCATGTTAGGGGTCTTTTTGGCTAGGCTTGGTTTCATGTTCTTTGATTGGGCTCATTACCTCTTTAGCCTTTGATTACTGTTGTTGCCCTGCCCAATGGGTTGTGTTCTTGTTTTGGGCCTGGGTATGCCCATTGTGTACTGTACAGCTTTTTGTTTCTCCTTTGTTTCTCTCTTTTTGGGTATTTTTTCGCTAGTAATCTTGTTGTTTACAAGAGTCCAACATCCTCTTGTACTTAGTTTCGAGTCATCCTGCCTTTTTATATTATCGTGAAAGCTAATTCTCTTCCAACAACGGACAATCAGTTAAGAAGCCGGCAATAGTTTTTTTTTTTTTTTTTTTTTTTTTTTTTTTTTTCAGCAAGTAAACGTATTAGGGTATTAGATATTAAACAAGTCTAAGAAGCTGAAAATAGTTTTTCAGAGAAAAAGATTTTTCGATTAAATTGAAGTGTTAATCAAGGGGGTTTATATGTTATTTGATTTATCAAATATTTCATACGCTTTATGTATTTTATAACACAACAAAGTAGTAGGGTGATGGATACGTTATATGAATGGTGGTTTGTATCATCATCAAAGAAAAGAATACATAATGGGTGGGTTAGAAAAGGCAACAATAATTTTGGAGTGGGAGAGGTCTAGCTATTAGCTAATGAAAAAGGGCATATATGTCAATACAAAATCCATTTTCTGAATGAATTAAGTGGTTGTAACTTGAGTAAAACAAGGTGAGGCCGTGAGGGGGGTTGACAGAAATGTAATTTGCCAATTAAGTTGATGTAACAAGTGTAGGTATATCATATCATATCATATGTAATTAATTGTACCGTTGAAGATCAAACCATATTAGAGTAATTAACATCTAATCCTTGTGTGTGTGTGTGTGTCTATAGCACGGACGGTAACAGCTTTCTTTCTTTGCTGCCATCCAATGTTCATATATAGCTTTCTTAATTATAGGAGGGCGGAACCTAGCTAGCGAGTCATAATTCATTACCCCGGCCCAAAGGATGGAGGGAGTGAAAAACAGAAGAAGAAGAAGAATAAGTAGGTCGGTTCCCAAAGTTCCTGCCATTACTCAGGTACACAATACACACAAAAAGAAAATTCAGAAAATAAGCACACAATGCTTCCCGTTCTTTTCTGCATCATATATTAAAGAAACTAAATTAATAACCTACACATCTTGATGAAAATTTGCTGCCCTACTTGATCAATTTGGTCTTGCAGGATCAATTCACATTTAGGCAAAGCTGGTGGTTCCATATCACATCGCTGGAAAAAACAAAAATTACTTTCGAACCTCTCTCCAAATCTTCGAGCTAGCTAGCTAGCTACATCACACCATGGAACCCAGCGGAATCCAGAAGTACTGCTTTGATCTGTTCAGGCAGCACGTCAGGGCCTTCACCGCATTGCTGCATAGCAACAAAGACTCCATCTATAAATCTCACTCTATTAAACCTAAAACTATCAAACCATAACAAAGGAAAATTAGAAAATAAAACATGCCTTTCCTTTGTCACAATTCGTGATAACCACACGGTAAAACATGCCTGCAGAATCAATAATACAAAGTTCTCCCTTTGCTTCGTCTTTTTACTCCATTTGCAACTCAATTCTAGTTCGTTTGTCATTACAAACCTGATGGTATATATTCCTCTTTATAGTTTTAGATTTACTCATTATGATATTTCAGTCAATGGCAACTTTCCGATACTAAGGAAGGGGTTGGGCAGCCGTGACCGAGAGGTAATCTCAGTCTCCATATGGTCACAGATATAGTGAAAAAGAAAAGAACAATGACCCATGCATGGGAAATCATCCAACACAATTTCTTAAAATTGTTCTCTAGTTGTATGTATGAGCCCCACAAATACGGTTGTGTGAAAAAGATCCAGATGCTCCGCATCAAGAGAAGTTTAAATTTATATCAGTAGATTCATACAACTGATCTTCATATATGTTAATTTTTTAAGGGCGTGATACAATTTTCACAGAAGCAAATAGATTAATAGCATGAAAAATAATGATAAAAAGTAGGAACCTTACCTCAGCTCGGAATACATCCAAAGCAAACCCATTGAAACAGCTGATGACAGCTTGCTGAATATCCAGCCCAAGATTGTCTAGAGCCCTCATAGTGGAGAGCAACAGACCTGGTCTACGAGCACAAAACATGTGGATGTTGACAGCCCTGCCTTCTCTCACCCTTACCTCCACCTACAAAACTCAGAAAACTAAAAATTTAAGAGAACAAGCAAGGAGTCCTTTGGATCGTCACAAAAGCCAACTTTGAGACATGAAAGAAGACAAAAAAGAGATGAAGTATCCAACCATAGAACAAACATGCTCATTCTATGATCAATATATGAGATCCATCATATATTGAGTGGCAACATCGTTTGGAGCAGAGTGTTGGAGGCATTGAGACACAAACACAACACATCCATGTAGTGGAAATGAGGATGTCACGTTTTATGATAGGAGTCACTAAAAGAGATGAAGTATCCAACCATAGAACAAACATGCTCATTCTATGATCAATATATGAGATCCATCATATATTGAGTGGCAACATCGTATGGAGTAGAGTGTTGGGGGCTTTGAGACACAAACACAACGCATCCATGTAGTAGAAATGAGGATGCTACGTTGGATGACAGGAGTCACTAAAAGAGATAAGATATATTACGAACGTGTGAGGGGAATGTTACATATAGCGCCTACAAATGATAAAATTACGGAAAGTAGACTTAGGTGGTGATGATGCAACTATAAAAAGAGTTAAGAGTTGTTTGTCTAGAAGATAAGCGACATAGAGGCCAAGTGGGATGAAGTAATTAAAAACGACTTGAAAACTCTAAATTTAAGAGAAGACATGGTGCATAATAGGAAAGAATGAAAAAAAAGAGTTCACGTGGCCGACCGATCTCTATGGGATAAAAACAACGACGATGATGATCATATACACAGTAAAACCAATTTCATATCTAAAATACTCAATGTAGGGAACATTCATTGGGGGATCCAATTGATGAGCCTTCCTATATATGCATGATGAGCCTTCCTATATATGCATGAAAAAGATGAGCCCGTGGACCACATTATTCATCAAAGCATTAAACTACAAGTCATTCATCAGTATTGGGTTAGACAATTTAATGCTGGAGTGTTGGTAAATCAACTTCATGTAGAAAATAGCGAAACATAAAAATGTATTCCTATCAGTTTACCACCAAAAACTTAAGAATCCAAATCTGCATTAAAAAAATGTTATAATTTTAATATTGAGCACCTACACCTATATTGGTTCCTTTGTTTTTAAGGTCATGAATCATGATGCTGACACCAAACTCTGACTCAATGATGCTACTAAGTTGTGACAGATTGAAAAGACATACATTAGTTATAACTAAAAATGTCCAAGGTGCATAAGCATCAATTAACACACAAACTTAAATATACCAAATTAAAACCTAAGGCAAAACTAGAAGACAGGAACTCATATAACAGAAACAATGGAAAAAAAAAGTTTTCTTTTTCCCTTTTAGGCTAAAGCAAAAGGAAATAAGCATGAACTTAACAAATCCAGAAATTTTATATTATTTTCCTAGCAGCAAGATGAATGAAATGTACCCTTGTAGGTTGGCTTTTAGGACTCGGTAACGAGCTTGGACATAGTTCTTCCTTGACGCGATAAGGAAGTGTGGGTGGGGTGGGTGTCAATGGATGGAAGTTTGTCGTAGGCGTCAGCAAAGAGCCTGGTGGGGTCGCCTCCAGTTCATTATGAAGATCGTTAATTCTTTGCAGAAGCTCCTTCAAGTACTCAATGGCATCCCCAAGTATTGAAGCTCTATCCATCTACATACATAAAAAGAACAGTCATATTTGTGCATTATGAATATCTATTCAAGTGAAGATGGTTTGACAAAGGTCTAAAAGCTCCAAAATTTTGACTACAGAACTCGATGCAGTTTTTAGTTCAAGATGGTTTAAATTCTTAGTAAAGCTACAACAGATTTGCCATGAAAACACTAATTTCTTGCTCACGAATAATAATTTCTTGCCATTTTAAAGAAAAGAAAGAAAGGAAAAAAGAAGAAGAAGAAGATGATATTATAGTCTTACCTTAAGGAATTTGGGAATCTCACTGGGTGTGTTTTCCCTTTCTTCCTATTTCCTTCATTTTGTATTAATTTCTCATAAGCAATGATTTCATCCAAATTGTAACCAATTTTACAAATCAGCATCAAGGAAGTTAAGGAGCATAGGAATGATGACTAATGATACTTGCGAGGGGAAATGACAGGAATAATTAGAGTATTAAAATAAATGAGAACTCATTTTTTTTTATAAGTGCGTGCATATATATGCATCCTAAAATATAGAAGGTTAATTTCTAAAGAAGATGAAGAAGAAAAAAAAAAAAACACACGCGAACACATTATATGAAAAGAAAGAACAGCAAAAGAAGTTTTGTAATAGAAGAATTCAAAAAATTAACCTTGCTGATCTTAGGGACAACAGAGCGAAGCATGTAAAGCCTGTCGTTGAGCTTCTTCCTCCGACGCCTCTCTGCCATCAAATTTTTTGCTGGAAGTCCCTTCTTCTTCCCCTTTTGATCTCCAACCGTAACTGTGCTGTTTGCAATTGAGTTATTTCCACCGTTAATACTAATACTCCCAATCTCATCCATCTTATTATTCTCAGGAGGCTCATCAGAATCATAATTCAGACCTGAAACATCAATACTCGCTTCCTCAACTTCATCGGCCTCACTGTTTCTCTTCCTCTTCTTCTCCGATTCTCCATCATCCTCTCTCTTTCCCCAATTCCCATCAATCCCCATTGAAGTCGAACCCCCCAAAAGCCCCAAATTCCCAAATTTGTTGGCTCCACCAGAATTCTGCCTCGACGCCGCTCTTTTCTGAAAGAGTGTGGGCTGTGCTCCAACCGGTGGTAAAACTTCAAGAGGCCTCAAAACCTTAGACCTGTTCATAATCAGAGCATCCCCGGACCCCTCGAAACCAGTCGGAGGAGCAAACGTGCCGCCAATGGCGTTGTTGTTGTTGTCAATCATCGGCAGCAAACGGTTGGTCGGAAACTCAGAGTTGGAATTCAACTCCGGAGTGGCCATGTGAGTTTGGGAACTCAAACTATTGAAACCCATCAAAACAGGGGAATTCGAGCTCTGATGTGCAAGAAAATTAGCGTCACAGCCCAAATCGAAGCCATTGTCAAAAGGGTTGTTGCAAACAACATTAAAGAGTGAAGAGAAACAAGATTTAGGTGGCAAAAACGACTGAATCTGTGATGGGTCGAGGGTAAATGCCGCCTGTGACGGAGAACAGGAGGAGGACGAGTCCATTGGTTGTAACAACAGATTGTGGTCAGTTGGGTTTGAACAGAAGGTCATGTTCATGTCCTTGAATTCATGGTGGTTTGGGATGGTGTGGATGTCTTGGTGAGATGGGTTGAGAGCATTGTTTATATACCAGTCACTTTCGAGCATGGATTTGAAGGTAGAGAGAGAAGCGTTCATGTCGTCGTCCTTTGTATCTCCATCGTTGTTTCTTGTCCACGAAACTGCGTCATCTTCTTCTCCTCCCATCCAACCGACGCCGTTAGCCCTTGGTAGCATTTCAGGCTCTCTCTCCTCTGCTTTACTTTTCTGGGTTGTTCCTTCTTTAGAGAGAGAGAGAGTGAGAAAGAGGGGGAAGGCGCAGAGGTAGAGAAAAAAGGGTATTAGCTTTTCAGAGTACAAATTTGATGGGAAATTGAAGAGAGAGAGAGAGATTCGAAGTTTGAACGTTAAGAGTATCAATACTGTGGAGTGAATGGAGACCACATCGTAGTTATCTCTGTCTGCTGGTACTGCTTTGGTGGTTTTAACAACTTTGCCCTAAAATGTACAAACTAGTCCTGTGAAAGTTGCCATTATTACTCAACTTTGATTGTTGACAACTCCATCCTATGTGTACAAATTACTGCCCTTTTTTCTTTTTCTTTTTTTTTTTTTTATTCTCAATCAAAACTAATAGTGCTAAAACTATATATATATATATATATATATATATATATTCATATTCATACCTCTAAAAATATTGAACTCCTAGTAGTAAATTTCATAATTCAATTCAACACTTTAATATGTACAAATTAAATTAAGTATTTACTAAATTAAATATACTTTATAATTTACAATTTGAATACCACTTAAAAGAATAAAAACTACTAAAAAAATTAAGTGAACAAGAATTCACTTACCTACTTACCCAAAAATAAAATAAAAAAAATCCACTTACCATCAAAAGTAAAATTCAAACAAATATATATAAAAATAATAATCTCAATTTATAAATAGCACCTAAAATTTATTTTTCAAAAATTTGTAGTTAGATTTCAGTTTTATCAAACACAATGTGTAAATTAGGCTAAAATAATATTTTGTTCTCCTTTTAAATAAAAGATTGAGAGTTCACATCTTCAATGAACAAATAGCTATGTTGGTATGATTTACCTTAAAAAAAAAAAAAAAAAAAGCAATCTAGTTTTAAGAAATAGTCCATTATTTGATATAAAAAAAAAAATTACATTCGGTAGCACCGGCTTCATAATATATAAGAGAATCAAATGTTAGAAACATTTTGTCATTTACTTTGAGAAATTAAAATAATACTAACTGATCTATCTTTTCCTAGTGAGTTTTAACTTCTAAACTCTAGATCAAAAACGATCAAAAACTTTCGAGGAATAAAAGTGAGAAAAAAAAAAAATCAAAACAAAATAAAAGAACATATAATTATTTATTTATTTTAAAATTACAAATAAATAAGAGAAAAATTAAATAAAAAATAAAAAATAACTGATCTTCCTTTTCCTAGTGAGTCTTAACTTCTAAACTCTAGATCAAAAACTTTTGACCAATAAAAGTGAGAAAACAAAAAAACAAAAACAAAAGAACATATAATTATTTATTTATTCTAAAATTTTAAAAATAACATAATTATCCACTAAAACCATTATTACACTCCTTGAGTGTTATTAATTTGCTACTACAAAAGCATTCCTGATGCATAAGGATTTCTAGTCTAATGGTAATGTATAACCTCGATCTCTTCCTCAACTTGGGAAGTGCTTGCTTTAACATTAAAAAAATATATGTACATATATAGAAGAACTATTATTTTGTCATATATAGAAGAACTATTATTTTGTTTTCTTTTTGCATTAATGTTCTCAAGACAACAACACAAAGTAAGAAATAGCTCCACTGGCATCTTCTCGTTGGAGGGTGGTTTTTTAGAATTATTCTTTAAAAATAAACATTCTAGAATTATTAGAATAAGTACAATTGTTATTCCAGACTTTTGAGAAATAATTTTATTGTTTTAGCTACTTCGTATTAAAATTTTGAAATGGGTGCAAGTGATGAAAATGGAATATGAATATCATCTTTCTCCCTTTAAGATTCTTTTTGTTTGAACGTAAAATATTTTTTATATTTTTTGGTATTTAGTTGTGATAAAATATTTATGAATAAAAAATTATATTGTAATATAATAAAAATAACTTATTTATCAATTTTTGACAAGTTATTTTACACATCTCACTTGATGGACTCAACCTAAATGTTTGTCAAACATAAAAAAAAAAAAATTTTAAAAAAAATAATATATTTTACGTGAAAAAATTTATTTTTCAAAAAAAATATTTTACGTTGAAACAAACTGAGCCTAAAGGAAAAATATGGTGTAGTACAATTATCATTACACACTTTCTTATTATATAATAAAGGGTTATTTGTGCCAAAAAAATAAAAAATAAAAAATAGTACCATACAAAATTTTGCAAGTTATGCACCTACATTACAGTATTAAAATGTTACAAAATACCTTCTGGAGGGGTCAAGTTGTAACGTTTTTAATAATTGAGGGGACAAATTGTAGTGTATGAAGTCAACTTGAAATAAATTACTGTATATAGTACAGTTCTTTGTCCAACTCTTTTTTTTTCTTTTCGGGCTCTTTATAAGAATTTTCTGAATTATTTTTTAATAAGTGTCTATTATATTTTAAAGTATATATTTTTTATTTAGAAAAACATAAATATTATTCTTTGCTACTGCAATTAAATTGTAGTATCTTTATAACTGAATTGTTTCAGAATCGAAATGCATTCCAAACTAGCTAGAAAATTTATATTTTTGTTTAATTTTTTGGTATTGTGCTTCAAATGTATTAGTTTTTTTTCCCCCTTTTTTTCGGAAGTTTAAACAAATTGTATATTCGATCGGTTGTACAAACAAATAGTAAATTAATTCAAATGTATTAGGTTTACTCATATTGCTCCTGTTACATATATATTTATAAATTTGTTTTTATTATTTAATAAGGTCAACATTGGACAATATATATATATATATGTGTGTGTGCGCGTGTGTGTGTGTATAGACACATATTCTCGGTAATTCTGGACAATAATTTTTGTTTCATTTAGAAATAGGAATTAAATTTATTTATGCTTTAGTACCTTATTAATAAGGATTACATTGGACAATGATACTATATTTCTTTTATCTTGAATTATACAGTATAAATTTTTTTTTTAATTACCGAAAAAATTATTCTGTATTTTTTTTAATTTCTTGAATCAAATACGCTTTTGGAATATATATAGGGCTAAAATCATCAAATTCCCATTACTTTCAATTTATTATTATTAAACGTTAACATGTTTCTAAAAAACCTTAACATTGTTACAAAGTTAATCACATTGCCTCCACTTCTGTTTGTTTGGGACATTAAAGTAGTGCTACTGCTCACTTGCATTGGCAAAATATTTATAGGGACAAAATTATTCTTGCAAAAACATGTGTTAACCATGTGTTGTACATTTTTATTATTCCAAAAATGCCCCTAAGCATGTTAAATAATATAAGTCATTTATTCATCAACTGAAAATGATTGAATTTTAATGTTTGAATTAAAATTTTAAATAATTTATGACTGGAGACATTAAAAGAATGTTTTGAAAAAAATTACCATCAAATTATGCATTTCGTTTTTAAACACAATAAGCTAGACCTTTAATTTTATTTAATTTTTAGAAATACAATAAATCTAACTTTGGAAATCTTCTACCAATTGAGTTTTGAATCAATCGTTTTTTTATTTATACCATTTTTCATAATAAGAATTAAACTTTTGTAATTAGAATTTTATTCAACATTTAGTGGTTATCCAAAATCTATTAGTTTGCATTTAAACATGTTTGAACAAAATTATTAGCTATCCCAATTGTTGTCAATTTTTATATTTAAATTGTGTAGTAATTAGTCAATTTTTTGAAGTATGAAAATGATTCAATTTTTTAAAAATATAAAATAAAAATTGATATTTTAATGACTTATTTAGTTTTTTGTTTACCAAATTGTCAATTCTACAAAAGATTTTATTTAAATTAAATGAACTAAATTATAATTTAATACATAATGTAATATTCATAAATTGACTTGAACGAAATTATAATATTCAGGTTTGTACGTGAGGACAATTTTGTGGATATCGATTTTTATTTTTTAAAAATAAAGTGGTATATTATAAGGGTAATTTAATCATTTAACAAATCTTTAACAATTTATTAACAGAATTGGGGGAAATTCGATAACTTTATAATAGTGTTAAAAGTTTTTAAAAATAAGTTATGATTTTATTATAAAAATTAAAAGTGGTAGGAGTTTTATGATTTTAGTCCTTGAATATATAGTAAACTTGTTTGTATTTATTTTAGTGGCGAATTAATCACCTGTGAGTCATGTGTAATACCCCTAATTTTAAAAGGATAGTCTCGGTATTTATTTATTTATTTTTATTGTATTTTTTTAATTGTTTAATTGATTATTTGACTAATTGTTTATGTGTTTAATTGAATTAAGTGTTACTTGATTAATTGGCTACTTATCTATGTGTTATTTGTATTTTGTCTAGGTGTTATTTGTATTATTTGTTTAATTAGATTGTGCACTTAAATGATGTATTTGATTAATTGTAATTAATTATAAATTAAATGATTAAATGTTTTATTTTATTTTATTTTATTTTATGGTTATGATTAGTGGTAATGGACTAACTAATTGGGTCCCACGGACTACTTGAATAGGAGGTTGGATGGGTATGGATAATTACCCATTGATAGTTGTATATGTATATATATAGATATATATGTATATACATATATATAAAAAGGAAAGTAATTTATTAATATTATAGTAACTTTAGTATTAATAAATAATCTGATGTATATATTTTATATATTTATATAATAAGGATATACATATATTTTATACGTAACATGTTTTAAGTTACCTTTTTAATATTATGGTAACTTTAGTATAAATAAATAATCTGATGTATATATTTTATTTATTTAATAAGGATACAGATAGATTATATACGTAACATGTTTTAAGTTACTTTTTAATATTATGGTAACTTTAGTATAAATAAATAATCTGATGTATATATTTTATTTATTTAATGAGAGAAAGAGTTAGAGAGAGAAGGAGAAAGAGGAAGGAAGGAGGAGAAAACCCTATAGAGGGAAGATCAAGGAAGAAGAAATTTAACTTTCAATCCGAAAGTTTAAAGCAAGTTCTTCTTCTATCTCTTTCCCTTTGATTCGTATTTCTGTACATGCCTAGGAAATTCCAGGATTTATTAAACACATAAAATTAAATAATTATGCATGTTTAATTGGGTTAGAACATAGGTTTTATGAAATTGGTTCACTGTTCTTGTGTTATGAATTGATAAAATGCATTATTTTGATTTGATTTCTTATATGAATTTTTACATGTTTAAATTATGTATTTTTCATATC